CACAGCGAGGCCTTCTGGAAGCTGTTCTCTGCCCCAGTTTCCTTACCTGCAACGCGGGGGAGAGCAGCCTCACCTCCTGGGTGTGTTGAGAGAGGTGATGGCGGGTGTAGATGGCTCCGCTGGGCTTCTGGCTCCTGGGGAAGGGGGAGTCCTCATCCCAGCCCCGCGCTGGGTGTTCCCGGCTGGACGGCAGCTCACCGGCGGGAACCATGATGCCTCCTTCCCCTTAAGGGCAACAGCCTTTCATCTTGTGCCCAAGGCAGTCAGGAGACACCAGGCCCACGTGTCCTTCTGTCCCCTAAGTGACCAGTGTGGTAAGCCTCTCAAAAGAGGAATCATGGGCTTTTACGGCGCTCTTGCTTTTTACCTGTGTGGTTCCTGCTGCGAGCCAGGCCCTCGCTGCCTGGGGACCCCATCAGGGCCACGCCACCCCTAGACGAAGCCGGGTGATGCTGGCCGGATGGTGTGGTCAGCCATGACCGGGGTACCGCTGCCGGTGTCTGGCACCACATCCCGCTCGCCTACGGGAACCAGGCTGGCGGGCGCCGGGGACCAAGTCTGGCCAGCAGCGGTTGACCCTCCCTGGTGACGTAGAGCCACGTCTCGGCAGGCGGGACTGGTGACCCACATTCCTCCTGCTTCCTCTCGATCCCATTGTAGATGTTAGTAGCTGATAACATCCTCTGAGATTTGCTTAGGTACCTATCAGGACGAGTCATCTGTGTTCACAGCATAACTAACTGGGGTGAGAAACTGGGGAGACTGGTCAGGAAGCAGTTGACGGCGGGCGCAAGTCAGTCTATAAAGCTCCTCCCTCCATACCCAGGACACAGCTGCCTGCAGTGACTGTAGGTTTACCGAAGGGTCCGTTGGGACACTCGTGCCAGGGGAAGGCCCACCGTAAGGCATGCAGGGTTTTGTGCTGCGTTAGTTTCTGTTTTGTTTTTGTTTCTGTTTTGAGAGTTTCTGTGTTTTTTGTTTGTTTTGTTTTAACCAAGGGTGGGAAGCGAAGAAATTATAATAAACATAAAAAGAGAGGCAAAAGAGCCACAGTCATATACTAAGTGGACAGACTAAACCAAGGTGAGCTGATGAGATGATATATGATAAACGAGGATTTAGAAATGAGGCTCTTCTTGCAAAAGCACCTTCAGTCCCCAAACTTGGAACCGTTCCCTGCTGGCCCATCCCAAGTTTACGTGTGATGGCTGAACACGCGCTCCCCGGAGTGAAGTGCTAACTTGATACTTTTAAAGTTATACACGAAGCAATGACAGAGCGTTTTCTAAAAAAAGAAGTGTGTTTCCCCTTTACATCACTCAGACATACCTGTGCAGAATCCACCACATCAGAGTCCACTGAATTGAAAGAAAAGCAGTGAGGCCACTGAGATGCCTGTGAAGCCAACGGTTCATTTCTGGTGGTCGTTGGTCCCTTCTGCATACTCCTCCCAGCCCTGGAGTTGAAGGGAGACAGAGACAGCCTGTGGACCCCGGAAGGCCGGCCCCTCCCCGCCTGCTGGGAGCTGACCTCCAGCCCCACGGCAGCTCTGTCTGTCTCGGCCTCTCCTGGAATCCAGTTCTCTGTGACTCCCAATGATTTGTCCTCTGTCGACCCCAGCACGCCTTGATCGTGGCCACAGTTAGAATCACCCAAAGGTTTTTTCAAAAAACGTGCAGATGCTTCTTCCCAAAAGGCTGGTTTTTGGTCTAGGCACTGGCCTTGGGTCTTTCTTCCAGCGATGGTTCACGTCCTTTGCAGATGATTCCAGGGGGCAGCCAGAATGCTGCTGTGGATGAACTAGCCCTCCCTCCCTCCCTTCGGGACCCAGGGACTGAATGTCAGAGTTTGTGGTGGTCCAGCCAGCAGCCCTCTGTTTTAGGTGGCACAGTCCAAGTTTCTGCAGTCATTCTCCACATTACTTGGTTTCCAGAGACCTCCCTCCGTGAGCCTGTCCTGGATATGCTTTTGGCTCTTCTTAGTATGGGGCTCAGAGCCGAGACTGGGCTCCTCCAGCTAGGTGCGCTCTGTCGGTGCCCTTGCCTCCCTGGCTGTGGCTGTGGCTTTACCTTGATATATCAATAAAACCCTGGGCCATGGAGACTCACACTGAGCTTGTGGTCCCCTAGGAGCCTGGACTCTTTTTCACAGCACAGCCCTTAAGCCAGACCTTTCACTTCTTGCACTTTGTTTCTTCTTGTTAGTTTTGAGCCTTTGTTCCATCCTGTTGAAAACTTTTGAATCTCTGTTTTTTGGGGGGGCGGGCAAGGTTTTGGCTCTCCCTCCTAGCTGAGTGTCAGTCCTGGGTCTGATACCTTTGTCCAGTCCCATTTCTTCTTCCCGATAAATGATGGTGGGGCTGTGGGAGGACCGATGCTGTAGCATCCTTAGGAGACCTTCCTCCCGGTGGATTCTGGGCAGGGGTGTCGGGTCAGCTCCCAGTGCGCCCTGTCCAGCCACATTTCATCTTGTGCCCAAGACCGTCAGGAGACACCAGGCCCATGTGTCCTTCTGTCCCCTAAATGACCAGTGTGGTAAGCCTCTCAAAAGAGGGAATCATGGGCTTTTATGGTGCTCTTGCTTTTTACCCCCTAAACCAGAGATAAAATATTTTGAAACGGTACCTGTTTTATAAACCAGAATACCAAGGCTCACAGAATTGATCTAATCTGTTTTCTCAGCATGTCAGTTGAAAAGTGGGTTTTGATCTGCGTTAACATGGCTACTACACACTGCTTCCTTTGCTACTCAGTGCAATTTAAGACCCACGCACAGAGGTGAGAAGCTAGGGAAGGTGTTTCAGAACCCTCATGCAGGTGTGCCGGCCCGCTGTGAGGTGCGGGGGTCCTCGGAGCCTTGTCTCTCAGTTCCGGTACTGTGATGGAGGGCCTGCTGTAATTTTTCACTTGGCGTCTTGGTCAGAGGTACTGGAGGTTCTCGTGATGTTTGAAATCCTTTGTGGGAACATAACCTCTGGGGGCTCTGACAGATGTGCTCTGAACACCTGCAGATGTGTAGTGTCAGGTACAGTGGCCCTGTTGTTTCAACTAATAGGCTTTGGTGTGTGTTCTCATAAATCCACATGCCTTTAATGCAGGAAAAACTGGGTCCCCCAAGCCGCTGTCCTGACTCTCTTTGAAAATGTAAAAGTGAATTTGACAGACTGAGCCTCAGCCTGAATTAAACAAAGGCCAAGACGACCCCCTGCGTTTAATTCCAGGTTAAATGCCCTTTTTATCATCAGAGCTTTCCAGGGCCGCCCGGTTTGCTTTCTGAGTAACGCTAGATACCCACATGACAGGCAGGTATATCTAACTTCATTTAAACGTTAGTTTTTCAGAGCCTATAGGATCAGAAAATGTATTCCTCTTTTGTCTTGTTTCCTGACCAATTCTGCCGATCACTACATACTGGTAACATTTCTTACGTGGATGTAATCCTTTAAAGTTGCTTATAAGTGGCTGTCTACCTACTAATTGAAAATGAATGTTTGTTACTGTGTTCCTTCAAATCTCTGGTAAATGCCTTCTGTGAAGGACACTTTCCTGCTTTCCTGAAGATCCCTTTGGAATACACTTTTTTTCCTTCCTCTCTTTTTTTTTTTTTTTACCAATTTGATGTGATTACTGTCTTAACTCTAAAACTATACTTAGAAAAATTTTATTTTTTGTTTTTTATTGAAGTATAATTGATTTACAATATCGTGTTAGTTTCAGGTGTACAGCACAGCGATTCAGTTATGTGTGCGTGTGCGTGTGTGTGTGTATTTTCAGATTCTTTTCCCTTATAGGTTATTACAAAATATTGAGTATAGTAAAATACTAAGTTTAGAAATACAGTAAAACATTGAGTATAGAAAAATTTTAAAGAACATTCTGTGTAAACAGATACCTACATTCCATGAGAACGTTAAAATCTCTAAAAAATTCATATTTAAAAACCAACAGTATTGGGCTTTCTCATAAAAGAAAACCTAAGATTTTAGTCCATCCCCGCTATGACACCTGTAACGAGAAAAAAACACCTCTGAGCTCGTACTGATGGGAAGAATCCCCGCTCTGTAGTTCAGAAAGGTTTAAGACATCCAGAAACGTTTGTGCACCTTCTAATTGAAATAAACCCAGGGTCGTCAGTGCAGACTTCAAGTGGGTTTTTTGTTAAATCGTGTCGAATCCACTTGCAGTGCAGTCTGGTCGGGGTGATGCTTTGCAGCCTCGGTGCCCAAGCTCAGGGAGCCTGGCTGCCCTTGGGGTGATGTCGCCGGCACTCACCCGGGAGGGTGCAAGGCCGCCCCGTGGCAGGGAACCCGTGCCCGGCCAGCTCTCCTGTAGAAGGCTCCAGGCAGACCCCACAGGAGCGACAGTGGGCATCCCACCCAGCGAGCACCGTTTCTCCTGGGCATTCCCCACTGGGAGGCGTGGGGATGAAGAGTGTGACTCACCCCCTTCCCTCTCATGCCTCCAAAGGAAACTGTTGGTGTCCAGGTTTCGGAGCTGAATGTTGGACTTTACTAGACAGTCATGGGGGCCCATCCTGAATCGGCCCGTAGTTTCTGAGGCAGCGGCAGGATCCCTGGGGGGAGAGCACACTGTTTTCCAGCCCTGCCTCTCTGTGACCGTGGGCTGAGGGGTTCTTTGAAAGCCACGGAAAGCCTTATGCTGTTATAAAGAATTAGTCTTTTTTCCTGGCTTTTGATACAACTAGTCCCCCTCTGTTAACTAGCAACAGTGTAGTTCTAGGTCACTAGATAGGCAGCTGTTATTTTCCCCTCAAGTCTACTGAGTCATCTAATTGGAAAAGAAGCCCCCCCGCAAATAGCCCATTTTGCCCTCAAGGTTGATCCGCTCTTAACAGAGCTTGCTGATCCGGGTCCTGGATCGCACCGTTCCTGAGACCCACACGCTTCCCTCCACATGTGCACGTGGCGGTTTGGGTGTGCTTCTCTGTCTTCTGTTCTGAAGAGAAATGGTAACGTCACGTTTTCCATTTCGATCCTCCAGGGACAAAGCCACACCGCTGCTGCTTTCCTGAGGAAGTGGCCTCCGCTGCGCTCTCCAACGGAGACCAAAGTCACACACTTGGAAGTAACCCATCGGGAAGAGCTGCCAGGGAGCCCAGCGCGGGGATCGCAGCTTCTGTGTCCATACTTGAAAGCAGTAGCAGAGACACTTCCAAGAGAGCAGAGCAGCCTAGGTTTTCTGTGGACTTAGAGATGCCAGCATTTCACCCCAAGCAAGAGGGCCCCGGCTCCAGGGATGCTGCGGACTTCCCTTCGCATCCCACTCAGACTGCAGATGTGCAGCTCCCCTCTGAGAGCCAAGCCACCCACCTGAAAGAGAAGCTGTCCGATTTGCACAATAAAGAGCATTCCGGGGGAGGGAAACGGGCTCCGGCCCCAGACGTGATCCCGCTGGACCTGAGTGAGCGGTCGACGCGGGATCACCCCAGCCACAAGGAGTGGGCCTCCTCCCTGCAGGCTGCTCTGGCCGTCCACCCGTGTCCTTACTGCAACCATAAGACCTACTACCCCGAGGTGCTGTGGATGCACAAGCGCATCTGGCACAGGGTCAGCTGCCACTCCATGGCCCCCCAATGGATTCAGCCCAACGGTTACAAAAGCATCAGAAACAACTTGGTTTTCCTCACCCGGAGCGGACGCACGGGCCCCCCGCCTGCCCTTGGGGGCAAAGAGTGCCAGCCTCTGCCCATCTCCCGGTTCACCCGCACTCAGGTGCCGGGTGGGGCGCTGGGCCCCAAAGGGAGCCCCTCGCCCCTGGGGGTGCCCACGAAAGCCGCCGGCTTGCCCAGGAGCAAGGAGAGCCACCCCGGGGGGCCCTGCGCGCTCTGGGCGGCCGGCCCCGACGGGCATCGGCAGACCAAGCCCGGCCCTGGCCCCGAGCAGCCCGGGGCTCCGCCGCCCCCATCCAAGCCCAAGCAGGAGGCCGGCCCGAGACCCGGGCCCGCGGCGGGCAGCGGGGGCTTCAGCAGAAGTGCCACACCGACGCCCACCGTCATCGCCCGGGCGGCTCCCCAGCCCCCGGCCAACAGCAGGCAGGGGGACAAGTATGGCCTCCCCCCAGCGGGGGCCGGCCTCGGTCCCCCAAATAAGCACAGTGCCCTGGACCCGCCCAAAGCCAAATTCAGCCCACAGCCTCAGGGTCAAGCGCACGGGAAAGGTGACGGGGGCCCCCCTCTACCTCCCCGAGAGCCCCCCACCAAGGTCAGCTCCAGAGGGACTGCGGCCTCGCAGGCCCAGCCCGTCTTACACAACATCAAACAGGAGCCTGCGTCCGAGGGCCCCGAGAAACGCCTGGACATCCTCAATATCTTTAAGACGTACATTCCAAAGGACTTTGCTTCTCTCTACCAGAGCTGGGGCGGCAATGGCCCTGCGCTCGAGCACAGAGGTAAGGGCTGCGGGCCCTCTCCCCGCCCGTCCTGGGGGCTCTGGGACCTCACAGGGGCGCCCCTCCTTAGAGGGGCACAGTGCTGCCCACTGGCTGTGTCTGAGCCCCGACGCAGTGCGCCCTGGCTGCTGTGCCCGGCCTCCTGGTGACGTCCCCGGCACACCCAGTCACGCCCCCTCCACGCCTAGCAGGCTGTCTCCATGGCACTTCCCCACTTGGTCTTTTTATCTTATTTTTATTCTTAGTATTTTTGTGGCCGCACCCGCAGCTTGCGGGATCTTAGTTCCCCGACCAGGGGTCAGACCCAGGCCCTCTGCAGTGAAAGCACTGAGTCCTAACCACTGGACCGCCAGGGAAGTCCCTCCATTTGGTTATTTTAAACAAGAATCAGTAGATGTTCATTGTGTCATGCCTCTCCAAAGACAAGATGTGCATTTGAAGTGGTTACTTAAGTTTTATCTTTACACGCATATAAAATTTAAAAGCGGCGCACATCAGTACTACAGCATTCGGTAGCAGAGCCTTTGCAGAATGTGAATGTCCCTTACCAGCTTTGGGGTACTGACTCAGGTTTAAAATTCTGGAAAAAAATATATCTCAGATCATTATCTTCCTTTCCTCCCAGTACCTCGGTATTAATACCTAATAGGAATAATAATTAGGAATTGTCAACAAATTTCCACAGGCTCCGTTGAATGCCTGCATGGGATATGATGCCCACGTTCTTGATTATAAATTGAAGGTAGCTCTCAGTTAACATGCAGAACACTGGGAAATCTAAGTATTTCCATTAAAAAATAAATAGACAAAAACCCCTATGGGGCTCCGGCTCTCACTTACCTTACTTGGGTGGTCCTAACCCTTCTTTGGATACAACTGTACATCAAGCATCTGTAATTTATTAAAGTAGGGTACGATTTCAGATGAATTGTGAGATCCAGTCCCTCAAATTCCAGGAGCTCAGAAGCACCTTTGGGGACAAAGTTCAGATTGGGGGAGTCACGTGCACAGAGGCACCCGATCCGCTGTGTGGGATGCCTGGTGGCCGTGGTTCCCGGCAGACGGATGTGCGTCTCTCAGTTCCCGGTTTCCTCCTGTGACTTGGAACCTGCCCAGCTCCATCGCTGACGCCACGTTGGTGTGGCGAGGAGGCCTTTGGTCCATGTTGACCCTTAGAGAAAAACGAAGGTGTTTTTCGACTAGCAAAAAGCTCAGGCGTTCCACAGGCTTAGAGATTTTGTCAGTGGGGTCCTTACCCCAGGTGGTTCTGGGGCTGTGGCTCAGAGACAGAGCTTCTCGAGAATTTCTAGAATGAAGCGGAGGCCTGGCTGCCTAGGGGTGGTGGAGACTTTCGTTAAGATGCGTTGCACAGGGCGTGTCCTGGTTAAGACTCTCATCCCCTCCCCTGTGCTTCAGGTGCTCTGGGTGCACGGCCCTTGGTAGGTGGGGAAAGGCTGCTACCACGTAGCTTAGCGTTTCCACCTTTTTGGATGTTGTTAAGTTTAGTGAGCTTTCCATGTTCTCAGCAGTGTTTCCCAGTTGTGCAGATGATTTGCTCTGGGATGGAATAAACGTATATTGGTTGGCCTTTCGGGGTCTCACGCCAACCTCAGTTCTCTAGATACAGGTTTTCGTGGACCCTAAAACAGAGGACGTAGATATAGATGATGGTGAGTTTCGTGGGCGCCGTGCTCCTGGTCACCTCCTCCCCTCCGTCCAGTGCTTCCTGGAGTCTCTACCTGGCTGCACAGTGAGTGGAGTCTGCACCAGTGTTTGGGTGACTTCCACTTAGTAAACCAGACTTGAACGTCATTTGTTACAACCCACAGCCTGCCCAGTCACAGCTCTAAACCTGCCAGTTCGCACCTAGTAAGCGGCCCACATGCCCACTTCCTAAAGGCTCTTTGTGCTGCGTGTGGACCTGCCTTGTTGTTGCCTTTTTTTCCCAAAACAGTAGAAGTGAGTTTTAGGTTAAGGTTTAGAGAACTTCAGATGACAGACTTTGAATTACAGGAACCTGAAATGCTTTCCTTTTCCTTAAGATTTTTAAAATAAGTGGTTCTAAGGCTCCCCCCTCCCCTTAAACAGAGGTTAGATATTTATCTTTTAAATGTGAAAAATGCTAAATCGTCCTCAAAGCGTGTGTGCTGTTCTTGGATGATTTACTCTCTCGTGTCGGGTGTAAGTGCGCAGATTTATGGTGTTTTCCCTCACCCTGGTTTGGGTTTCTTAGGGGAAGTGCTTAAAATCTTTTGGCCTTGATGTGTGAGTTCATAGGTGTGTTTTGAGAACCGAAGCTCTTGGGTTTAGGGAAGAACGGAGGTCAGCTGTGTAAATCCTTGTTGGCCTGCCTCAGTTTACCTTGAATGCCCCGCCAGGAGGGACTTGCTCCCCCCCCCCCCCCGATGCCCCCTTCCTTCCCTAATGAACTGG